GAGCCGGGCCTCGGGCTCGTCGGCGGGCGGCGGGTCGGCTGGCACGGGCTGGGGGCGCGGCGCGCGGGGCTCGGCGGCGCCGTCGGGGGGCTGCGCCGCGCGCCGGAAGCCCCAGCGCTGTCGGTCGTAGCTCTTCTTCTCCTTGGCCAGCAGTGTCTGCAGGTAGATCATGCGGAAGCGCTCCTGGTTCACCTCCTGCTCCAGGCGCCGGATGGAGGACTTGCAGCGCTCCAGCTCCTGCTCGATATCGCCCACCGAGCGCAGCTCCATGCGCGGCGGCTCCGAGTCCGGGAACTGCGCCTTCCACGCCTCGGCGAAGCCCACCGGGTCCACCATGGCGCGGCCGGCCTCACCTGCGCCGCCCGGCTGCCGCGGGGCCCGGCTCAGCGGCGGCGCGGCGGCCTCGCCAGGCCCGGCCCGGGGCGCCGGGCGGCCCCCATGCCCCCGGCGGGGCAGCGGTGGCGGCAGCTGGCGAACAATACCCGCCCCCTCCCGGGCTGCAGGTGAGGCTGCAGCCAGGCTCCCCGCGCGCGGGGCGGGGCGAGGGGCGGGCGCGCGCGCCGCTATTGTGTGCGGGGCCCCTGGCGCGCGCGGGGCGGGCGCTACCTCCGCTAGGCTGGGCCCGCTAGCCCATGGCCGCCGCCGGCGCGCTGCTCTCCTCGGGCTCCCGCGCCCGCGCCCAGTCGCCGCCGCCTCTCCGCAGTGCGCTTGGCCCGCCCGCTCCCGCCGCACTCGCGCCCGGCCCGCACTCGGCGCCGCAGGAAGGGGAGGGCCGGGGGGCGGTGGCCGCGGCGCGGCGGACCGAGCGTGAGGGCCTCTTAAAGGGGCCGCTCCCCTGCCCAGCCGTGGCCCTGCCAGCGTCCCCACGCCTGGGAAAACCGAGGCCCGGACGGCGAGTTCTGCACTACTGGGACAGGAACCCCTGGGTCCGCATTGCCCCCCAGCCCGGCAGCCCCTCACCGGCGTCACGGCTGAGCGCGCCCCTAGCGGGCAGGTCACCCAGCGGTGCCAACGGGCCTCCTGCGCTGGGGTCCCGGGGTGGGTGATGAAGCAACATCTGCCACACGGGACTGTAACAGAGATAATCAATAGGAATTTCTTCCCAGGTCACTCAACACCCACGTCTCCCTTCCTGCGGTCCTGGGCCAGGTGTTTGCCTGACTCAGAACTTATCTCTGTAATCTGCCTCTGAAGGGGTCGCCAGCCTCCACTGGGACGCGCGGGGCTGGGCGGAAGACAGCATAGCCCAGGCGGGCAGCGAAGCAAAATCTGTTCTCGTCCCCCAGGGAAGCCCAGAGATCTTAGACACACAGCACCCTGGAGGGAGTCCAAGGGGCGCCAAGTGAAAATACCCCAACCAGCCTGCTGGGGGAGGGGATACGGAAACAGGATTTGTCGACCAGAGAACCCGGCTTGAGTCCTGACCGCCTCTGCCCCTCTGTGCCTGCTTCCTGGGCGTTGAAATGAGAACCAGAATACCTCCCCACCCCCCCGCCCCCGCCCCCGCGGCTGTTGTCCCTGCACGGATGTGAAGGGTTGTCTTGCCTTCCCCGCAGTTCCAGTGCCACCCAGAGCGGATGCCCTGACATCTAATCTAGAGGAACAGAGCCCAGGGCCGGCCTGGCTGGGATTCAGGTCTCTCCCACCCTGGGCTTTGTGACCTTGGCAATTCCCTTCCCCTCTCTGAGCCCAAGTTTTGTCTTCTTATGTCAGATGTTGTGAGCACCATGTGTAAGGCAACCAGATGGGGCAAATATAAAGCACGTGCTGTTCCTTCCATGATTGCCTTTAATGTTGGTGCCCTGGGAGACTGGCAGGAAAACCCTGGGGAGCAGGACTGGCAGACACTTCCAGGCACAGCTCACTGCCGCCCCCTGCAGGCTCTCCACCATCCTGCTGTCACCCCTCCCAGGCCCCATGTCCCCTCCCACTCCTCTGCAAGGCCAACAGGGCCCTTGTAAAGCCTGTTTTGCAGGTGAGGAAACAGAGGATGATGCCCTGACTTTGTGGCCAGCAATGCGAGGCGGGAATCCCAGCAGTGCTCACATCCTGAGGACCTCTTCTTCAAAACGGGTATAATAAATCCTGACCTCCCAGGGCATGGCACACAGCAGCTCAGCATCGGTATCAGTTGCCTTCCTTGGATGACCTGTTCCCGTCACCCAGCGAGTGGGTCCGACAGGACTAGAACCCAGGCCTCCAGAACCCCATTCCCTGGCTATCAGCAAGGAGAATCCCAAAAGCACAAACACTGTTTTCCCCTTGCTGACAGGGTCTCTGAGTTTCCAGGGGGAATTGTGGGGTCATCAGGGACATTATCATTAAACACCTGGGAAAGAAAAGGATACTTTGGGGGGGGGTGGCTTCATCCATCAGTGAGGTGTCCCTTTCCCTGGTTTGCAGGCCCCAACTCAGCCCCTCCTTAAATATTGTACACATAAGCAAGCTCATATCAGAACTCTGACGCTGTTTGGTTTGGGTTTGCAAGCTCTGTTCTCTTGGTAGAGCAAGTGGCTTGTTGGGCACAAGGACACTGCAAGATAGTGGCTATCTCCCCATGGGACAGCTTGTTCTGGCCCCAAGGACACTCCTCCCATCCTCTGAGCCTTCCCTGAAAGCACTCCCACCCTGGGTCTCTGGTCCTTCCCTGAAGAGCTTTCTTATCATTCCTCCCTCCTGAGGAAGGGAAGAATGAGGAGGAAAGTGGGGTCCATATATATGACACTCTGTAGTCCCCCATTTGGTGCCTGTCCCCAGCTAGATCTAAACTTCCAAGAAGAGAGATCTGTCTGTCTTGTTCCCCAGTGAACCCCCAGTGCTTACGACATAGTAAGTGCTCAGCCAGTGCTGGCCCGGGTGGGAGCGCAGAGCCCAGGGAGGAAAGGGTGAGGCGGGCAGAGCCAGGCCACAGCAGAGGTGTGTGGGCCTTGAGGGCGGGCATTCAGGAGGAGACAGAGGTCAGGGGAAGGCTGGCCGGTGAGCTGGTCCTAAAGATGGAGACAGACAAGCAAAGATGGGGAGAGTTCAGAGTTCTGGGTGTGTCTGAGGAACAGCTGGGTTATGGGGTGAGGCTGGTGTGGGCTGCAGGAGGTCACATCAGGGGTTTCACACCCGTGAAAACCATCACTACAATCACCACCACTCCCAATAGATGGTTTTTTTTTTTTTCGTCTAAAAACTAAAATGGAACAGGGATTGTTGGTGATGTCCCATCCTCAACTTCCTTCATTTTCTGAGATATGGTTTTGTGGCTCTATAATTCATTTCACAATCTTTCCCTCTCCCTCTCCCTCCCCCTCTCCCTCTCTCTCTCTCACCCTCAGCAGCAGCCCTAGTGGTCCTTGAACCCAGACCAATGTTCCGGCAACCCCTCCCCGAGGCCATCCAATCCCTTTGCTGGAAGGAGAGGCTGGGACTCAATGGCCCCCTCTGCTGGACAGAATGCAGAACTTCCGATGCCTCAGAACCCTGGGGATGGAAACAACCCCAACGTCTGTCATGGGAATATCACAGTGGAACATTATATGACCATGAAAGAAAATGCAGTACCAATACATGCTAAACATTGATGAACCTTGAAAAAATTTATGCCAAGTGAAAGAAAACAGTCATAAAGGGCCACATATTTTATGACTCCATTTACATGAAATGTCCAGAATAGACAAATCTATAGAAACAGAAAATAGGTTGGAGGTCACCTGGGGATAGGGGATGGGAGGAATGGGGAGTGACTGTTAATGGTCTCACACAACAATAAGTGGGGACCATATTTTGCTCCTTCCCTGCCTTGTCTGTACCCTCCTCCCCACCCGCTTTGGGGGCAGAGGCTAGAGGAGGGCTCCCTCCAAACGGGATGTGGCTACATGACCCCCATCTGTCATCTGCCATCCGTCAGTGCCAGGGAGCTTCGGGCAAGATCAGAAAATGGGGGCGATCGATACAGCTGTTCTCTAGCCCTGCTCGTTGCTCTGTGCTGGATGGTGCCTGGTGGGGTACCTCTTCCAGGTTACCAGCCCCGGCCCAGAGTGGGTAGCCGGGGTCTCTGAGGGACTTCCCTGGCCAAGGGCTCTGAATAAGTGAGCTGTGGGCCTTTCCTCCCAGGCCCGCTTGTCTGTAACTCCACCACCTTCTGCAGAATCAATTCTGGATGAAGCCCTGCAGCGGAGGACATCCTGGCCGAGTGCCCAGGCTGCCATTTCCAACTTCACAGAGAAGAAGGGGCTGGGACAAGATGCGCTGGTTCCCAAAGGCATGGCCAGTGACATGGTGCAGGCTGTGGCTTCCAGTGGCCAGAGGCCCAGAGCACCCTCAGGCCAGGGGTGCCATCCACCTGTTGGGGATCAGGGAGCAGAAGAAAGGGTCTGCAAACAGCAGCCTGGGGACAGGCTGCACTACCCTGCTCCCTCCTGGGGCACAGGCTCAGACAGGTGGCTGGTGGCCCTGAATTCTGGGAGGCATCTGGATGAGGGGGTGGAGCCTGGAAGGAGGCCGTGGGACAGACACGCTCCCTGTCTGCCCAACATATGGGAGGTGACAGGGGAGGCCACAGCAGATGGCAGAGGAGCCTGGGGGCTGCTGGGAGGGTGTCTCATCTCAGGGCCTCCTTGAGTGACGTGCGCCCAGGGCCCCCTGGCCCTGTCTCTGGGAGCCCCGAAGGCTCAGAAGATGAGGGCCCTCTCTGAGCTGTTGCTGCTTCTGAAAGCTCCCCCACCCCACACCCCACCTCTTGTCCCCACCCTGGGCCTCCTGGGTCCCCGAGTCCCCTCTGTAGTCCCCAGGCCAGGAACGCCTGTCACCCTGGCCTCTCCCACGTTCTTATCTGTGTGAGGTTGTGAGTGGAGCAGGTCCCCTGCCCATCACCATGCTCCGTTACCTACATCTTAGTCGACCTCAGGTGTCCAGCTTAGGCTGCCTGGGTCCCTCAGGAGAGCGCAGTCCCTCTGGGAGTGGCTCCCATCCCATCATCAGGCTGAAGTGGGCATTGGGTGGATCCGAGGCCCCCCCGTTCCCTCCAGAGGCCACAGCAGGGTCGGGGAAGGGGGAGGCTCCTGCTTGCCGGGAGGCCGAGACCCCCACCCCGCTCTGGGTCACTGCGGAGACTGGTCGCGGGGCTGTGGGCTGGGGAAGGACCGACTAGAATCACGGGGCTCAGGGAGCAAGGTGTGATTAGCTCATTAGCTCTGCTGTGGACCCTGAGGAGGCCCAGGTGTGGGACCTGGAGTGGGATTCCCACTGGGATCAGGCTGCAAGCTGGCGTGGGGGGCGGGGAGAGAGGAGGGACGAGGAATGCGGAGAAGCGCTCAGCGGCATCCTGTCACCTGGGCTCTGCGCTCAGGCTCCTCTCCAGCTAGGTGGGGACAGGAGGCCCGGGTACGCAGCCCCCAGGGTCTCTGGGATGAAAGGGACTTCTTCCCCCTCCACTGAGTGCTCAGTAAATGGGGGTTCTGGTTACTCCCCCAGGAGGCTGGTCGGCCCCATTCCTGGCTGTCCCCTGCTTTGGGCCAGAATTCCCACCTCCAGTGGGCTGGAGGCAGTGGTGGTGCCTGCATGCGACTCCTTCCCCAGGCCTGCACGGCTTTCCCTGGAATCTTCTGTGTCTGGCTCTCACCAAGCTCCTCCCAGGAACAGACCTTAGGCTTGAGCCCCTACAGCCCTCACTGGCTGCTGCCTGACTTCAGGAGCCTCTGAGCGAGCAGTGGGCACATCCGCCTCTGGCCACTGAGGAGGGCCAAGCACAGGACTGTCCCCAGGAGGTTCAAGAAGACATATCTTGGTGAGAGTGAATGTGTCTGCCGAGGACTCAGCGGGATTCCTGTCCCCCTGCTACATCTAGGTGAGCACCTGCCGGGGGCCTTTTGTCTAGGAGATGCTGGGGAGATGAGGTCACAGGGTTGCTGCCCTGGCTCTTAGGGTCCCACAAGGCGGTGGGGGCGGGGACGGGGGAGAAGCCCAAACATGGACACCACACCCAGAAGTAACCAGTGCTGTGGGAGCCGTGGGGGCTCCAGGAAGTCCTCCCAGAGAAGGAGCGCCCGAGCCGCCGGGCACAGAAGAGGCCTGGCACCTGCAAAGACTAGTGACCACGGGTGAAGGCTGGAGCACAGGGGCCTGCAGGGTGGGCTGGGGCGGCCACTGAGGGGCCTCGAGTGCCAGAGTGAGAAAAGCGCAGGAGGGGGAGGGGCCCGGGGTGGCTCTGAAGCTCTCGCATGCGGCCCTGGTTCTGCCACTTCAGAAGAATATCGGACAGTTGGGCACACATGGGGCAACAGGAGGAGTTTCACAAAGGGCCATTTTGGGGGGTGGGCGCACATGAGACAGTGGTCCTTGTTCGGGGGCTAGTGGCAGCAGGGTGCACTACCGCCCCCCAGTCCTGGGGCCTAGAGGACGTCCCAGAGGATGGAGCCGGGAGGGTGCCAGCCCACCTGACCAGGGTCTGCCATCCTGACGCTGTCTGTGGTGTGCCCCAAACCCGGTCGTGGTGCACCCTGAGATAGCCTGCCCCTCAAAACTGGGTCTGGTGGGCCAGCCCACCGAAGGCCCAGCAAGGCCTCTGTGGGGAATCCCAAGTGTGCAAAGCTATAACTATGAGGATGGTCACTTCAGTTAAAAAAAAAGCTAAAAGCTGGACACAAGCCAACTGTCCCACGGCCGGGCAGGGTGAATGGACTCTGGCCCATCTGCATGAAGGCAAACCTGCAGCTGCTAAAGGGACACGCAGGCTTGCTCTGGCAGTTCCTCGGAATGCGGCCTGCCCTGTGGGCGTGGGGAGAAGTCACTCTGGTTTTAACAGCAAACAAGGCTCCCAGGTCGTGGCCGTGCTGTGTAGGAACAGGAGTCCTACCCGCTGCAGACGAGGCTTACATCCGGGACCGCAGGGACTGTCACCCTGCACGCAGAGCTCTGTGCCGTCTCGTTTCACAATAAGCACATATGCCATTCCTTTAGGAGTGATTTATATAAAGAAATATCTCCTACCTATAAAAAAGGAGAGCTAAAAATGTGGTGAAGTGGGAATGGACAGAAGCTGCCGAGTCTCCCGGGGGCTAACCACCTGGCTGCCCGAGAAATGCTCACCATCTACGAGAAACAGGCGGGAGCCAGACGTGCCACCTGCCTATGGCCATGGAGGGCAGGAATGGGGGGCACACAGCCAGGGCTGGGGAGAGTGGGGTGGGCGGGGGCTCAGTAGCCCCTGAGGAGGAGCAACATGAGGGCATGGAGAGGGTTGGGTGCCCTGGGCGGGAGCTGGGGAGGGGAGGCCCGGGTGCTCTTGCCCGATCCGGGTTGTGGCAGACGGGGAGCCTTGACCTCAGCAAGTGCCGCTCGCCTGGACCACTGAGATGACGAAGATTCCGAGGCCGACCCAGGAAAGTGGGGAAGAGGCCCGAGGGGATGCTGACTGTGCCCAGGGCGAGCGCCGTGGGCCTGGGGGCACGTGTCCGTGCCTGTGGTCCTGAGCCTCCCGGGGCCGGGGGGCTGTCGAGTGACTCTGTAAGTGCAACTGGCCTTCCAGATGACAGCCTCAGTACCCCCACCAGCTGGGCAGCATGGGGCCCTGGGCAGCCACTGGGGGCCTTCCCTGGCTCCTGACCCGCTAAAGAGAAGAGACGGAGCCCTGGGGCTCAGGACGGTGGGTGTTCCATGTCACCCTCCAGGTCACGGGAGGCACTGCCCACACGCATGCAGGCAGTGGAGGCCTCTGACACAGGCTCAGCTAACAGCAACCCGGGCTGGAGGGCCTCTTGCTGTCCTGGGTCTCGGGTGGATGTCCCTCCATCCCTGTAATGAGGGGAGAAGTCACCTGGCATCAACCAGGCACCTGCAGCTGATGGGGGTGGGCGTCTGAGCTGGCAGGTGGGCAGGGAGGCTGCAGGCTGGAGGTCAGAGGGAGCCAGGAGCCAAGAGCAGAGGGCGACGAGCCAAGGGAATGGTTGAGTCTTGGGCCGGAGGGTGGTGGACGCGGATTTCAGGCCGCAAGCCTCTCCCCAGCCCGGCCCATCACCTGCACGTACGGATGATGTCCCCGTCGCCGACCTGTGGCCGGGCACTGCTCCTCCGCTCCAGGTCCTGCAGCACCGAGCGCTCGAAGGCCAGGGCGGCCACGCGGCTGAAAAACGCCTTCACGTTCTCCCCTGTGGGCACGGGAGAGCCATGACCCCAACCACCTGTGCCCCTGCCCATGGATGCACTGGGGGGTGGGGGAGCCAGCGGTGCGGGAGCCAGGACAGCCCCCACACTGTGCAGGGGATGGGCTCCCCATCCTGGCCACCTGCCCTGGCCGCTCCTGAAAATCTCTGAGCCTTGGTTTCCCGGCATCTACTCTTCCAATCAATTGCTACTGAGCACCCGTGGGCCAGGCACCGAGCAGTGTGGGCCTGCTTTCCTGTAACCTTTGAGCACCTCTCCAGTGGGCAGCCATGAGGATTAGAGCCACTGGCCCCCATTTGGGGCCTTTGTGCCTCGTCCGCCAGGAGGACAAGACCACCCATCTGGGCACAGGGCCGGGTCCAGCCCCCGACACGCATGCTGCCCTCGTGCAGTTAACAACCTATACCACCGCACAGGGCAGTCCTTCTTGGCCCATAGGGAGCTCTCAGGGAACATGCTGTTACTCCTATAAGAGGGCGGGTTCTCACAGCCTCAGGGACACCGTCAGGAAGGGGAAGAGGGAACTGGACATGGGGGCTGCCACCTTTTTGTGTTGGGCTGCAGGTGGTACTTCCACTCGCACTCCTGCTGCCTCACCCAACCCCTGGGCAGGTGTCCACGGTGGCCCCTCGCCCGGGGTAAGGACTCCCAGGTGTAATTCCCAAGTCCCCACAGCCTTGGGGCCTACTGTACCCCAGGCAGTTATTTCATTTCATCCCCCCAACAACCTGTTTTCAAAATCTGTTCCTTGCTTCTCTGCATTTTCTCATTTTTCCTCAGTGAATCATATGGCTTTTATCATTTAAAACACATTTTCCATTAAAAATAAAACGAGATTGACAGCAACACCCCACTTCCCAGATGAGGATGATGAGGCTCAGAGGCGTTGGGGGCCGGGGTAAGCAGTGCCCGTGGGCGAGGGCAGCTCAGGGGCCGGGGACCCAGCGAGGCTGGGGCAGACTGGGTGGGGTGTGGGGGAGGGCTGGAGGGCCGTGAGGGATGTTTGAGTGCCTTCTATGATGACACCTGGGGAAGGGAGGGACAGCCGGTCACTGGCCCCTCCCACCTGTACCAGGTCAGGGGCAGGAGGATGGTGTGGTTACAGGTGAGGCTGCATTCCAACCCCGGCCCCACCACTGCCTCTCTGAGACTCTGGTCGTGACCTCACAGGGACGGGATGGATGTGCCCCACAGCGGCCGCGGGGGTCTCACTAGAGAACACAGGTGTGCCACTCCTCCCATCCAGGGCAGGGCCCCCACCCCCGATCACCATGGTGGCAGCCCTGCACCCACTCACCGGTCTTGGCCGACACGGACCAGTACTCGGCCTGCATCTCGTTGGCTAGGCGCACGGCCTTTGCCTCCGCCTGCTCGCACGCGGCCCCTGACTGGGAGAAGCGGCCCTGCTGACCCAGCTCCCCGGGCCTTGGCACCTGCCCACAGGTGAGCCCGGTGGCCCCAGGCGAGTCTGAGCGCCAGCGTCCCTCCCTGATAGGACGAGCCCCGAGCACTGGGAACCGAGTGCCCCTGCTTTCAGACCCCCGCCTGCAAGTTCCCACGTAGGCACATACAAGTCACCCTCTGCTCCGCAAGCCCAGGCTGAAGGGGCCGCGTTTCCCGAGGCCGCCCCTGGCCCTGACCCGCTCTGCTCACCAGAAGGTCCTTCTTGGTCCCCACGAGGAACAGGAAGCAGGCGCCTGGTTCATTCTCCCTCAGTGCGTCCTCCAGCCACTGCCTGGAACATGGGGGACAGGCAGAGACGGCACCCACCCCCCCAGGGGCTGAGGAAGCTGGGATGGGGTGCAGCCCGGGTCCTCCCAGGGCCGAGGGTCGCAAGGAGGGTAGCTTGACCCGAGCTGGCCTCGGGGGCCTCGGGTGGGTGGGGACGCAGGGGCGCTGTAGGGGGAGCTGAAGGCCCCGTCCCGGCCACGGCTCTACCCTCGCCCTGGGTGAGTCCTGCACTGTCACCAACTGGAGTGACCAGCCTGGCCTCCCTCACAGGGCTGGAGTTGCGGCTGTGAACACCCCAAACAAAAGCAAGGTAAAGGGGCTCTGGTCTGTCAGCTGATGAACCCTGGCTCTTTTTTTTAATTAAAAAATGTTTTTTTTTTTTTTTTGGCCGTGCTGTGAGGCTTTCGGGATCTTAGTTCCCTGACCAGGGATCGAACCTGCACCATGGCAGTGAAAGCATGGAGTCCTAACTATTAGGCTACCAGGGAATTCCCAACCCCCCGGCTCTTGCCCAGATCTCTGCCTGAGACAGCAAGTGCCCAGCTGTGTCCCCAGAGACAGGGCCCAGGCGAGGTGAATATGCCAGGCCCCTCGCCACAAATTAGTCAGGCTTTCAAGATGACAACAGCAGAGCACTGAAGCCAGAGTGCGCCATTCTGCACTGGCCATAGGCCCAGCGGGCCCTGCCTTCTGCTGTAGCTGCAGATCTTGAAGGATAAAAAGGTAGCCAACAGTCATCGGCCCATGGGTGGCGGGTGCTGACCAGCAAGCTTGGTCACCTGTACCCACTGTCAGGGGCCCAGCTCATGGCCCGGGTTTAGGGAGCCCTCCAGGCAGCTTTCTGGGCCCAAGGGTCCCACGGGGGCTGCAGAGCCCCAGACTTGCCTGGTGTGCTCCAGGGTCTGCATGTCAGTGAGGTCAAAGGCCGTGATGATCACTGCATGGGGTGGAGGGGGGAGCCAGGAGCCGGTCAGTGACGGGGGAGGCAAACACAGTGTGACAAGGGGGCTCCCGAGGAACTGATGGGGGTGACGGACACTGGGAGGGAGACACCCATGGCCACCCTGGGGACCCAGCCCCCCACTCTGATCCACACCCAGTGGCCCAGCCACAGGGGGCTCCAGGGAGGCAAGGTGAGCCCCTGCATTCAAATCTCCCCTCTGCCTCTTATGGCTGAGGGAGTGCAGGTGAGGCCTTAACGCTGAGAGCCTCAGCCTTCGTCTGTGACATGGTGAGGACCACAGCTACCTCTAGCTCTCAGGGTAGCTCTGAAGACTAAGTTGGAGCAGCTGTTTTAAAGCTCTTGGCCCAGGGCCTGACGTGGGGCAGACTTTCCCCCACTGGCAGCTATGGTCGTGCGGGCGATTAGCAACAACCAGCTTCAGGGGAACAATTTCTGAGGAGCAGGGTGGGCAGGAAATTGGGAGATGCAGCCCCCTCCCCCCAGCTCCTCTCATCACTGCCCTGTCTGATCCCCTGTGCCCTGGGTGGCCCCATGTGGAGAGCATTCCTGGCCTGCTCTCTTCTGGCCCCAGGGGTGTGATCAGGGCTGGACATGGGCCTCCCTCTGCACCTCGGCTGAAGGCTGCAGGAGGCCCACCCATGTGCCCCGCCCTGGCAGAGGGGCTGAGAAGTGAAGGAGGAAGCTGATGGTGGTGGTGACCGTGGCCGGGCTGCTGTCTGCAGGGCTGTGCCAGGCGCCTCACGCCTTATTCCCAGGGGGTGTCATCCCCCTGAGAAGAGAGGCTACAGCAGATGTGGCAGAGCTGTTATTCCAATCCACAGCTGAGGTGCTCGTGGATTCCTGTTTTTGCTTTTTTCAAACCTTAGTGAAAATGTGACTTTCAACACCTGTACTGAGTGGACCTAACTGTACCTCATCATCTGAGTCCGGTTTGGATGCCTCGGACTGCTTTGCTCTTACCTCTCACTGAAACCCTTTCTCTCTTCTTCCTGGTCAGAGGAGGGGGCTTATGCTGCCACTGCCTGCTGACCGGGAGGCCTGCCCAGGGCTGGGGCGCCCTCAACAAGGATGTGGTGGGCGAGGAGCCCCGCTGGCCCCCACCTGGGGGCTCACCTCCACTCCTCCCCTCCAGCCGAGCCCCGCCCCCCTGCTCCTGAGTTGACTCTGCTCTTCTTTCTGGGGTCTCTGCACAAGTACTCCCCACTCTGAGCACCCTTCTGAGCTGAAACTGGGTCTGAGACTTTCAGGTAGCACCCACGACCATGGGTCCCTAAAGCGCGTGGCTGCCGAGGCTGGCCTGGGCCCGGCTGGAAGACGAGGACCGGCCCCGTGTTTCCTCAGTGGCTCTCAGAGGACAGATTTGGTGCCTGCACGGGATACCTGGGCATCTCACTGTGCGCCCAGCAGGGAGTTCACGGGGAGCCCCTGCTGCACATGGTTGAGGCCCCACTGTTGCCGTCACCTGGCTACTCACCCTGGGCACCCCGGTAGTAGGCAGACGCGATGCACTTGAACTTCTCCTGTCCTGCTGTGTCCCAGCTGCGCCGTGACCAAGAGGGAGGGGCAGAGAGAGAGAGAGGGAGAGAGAGAAAAGGGGAAACGGAGAGGTGGCAGGTTAAGCCATTGATCACAGTGTCCACAGCCATCAGGCTCGTGGGGCCCTGGGCCGGAGACCCACGTGCCAGCACCAGCTGCATGGGTGTCACAAAGTGCCTGCTGCCAGCCAGCCAGACCCACCCCCAGCTCCTTATGATTCCTTTCTTGGGCGCCCATGGGGAACCCCCTCTCTGGATGCACTGTGCTCATCGGGGAGGGGCATGGCCTTAGCATTTCCACTGCCCAGATGAATGGAGCTGTAGCTCAGTCCCTTCCAACTGCGCCATAAAAAAGAGAATGTGCTCCCTGATGTGGCTGCTCTCAAGATATTAAAGTCCACCTGTAGAGGCGACCCCGGGAATGGGACTGGGGCTCTGCCACTTGCTCATGTGTGACTGGGGTGTGGCTCCACCTTCCCCATGGCAGTGGAGGGGATGCTCAGTTCTCTGGGTGGGGTGCGTTGTCTGACAAGGACATGGTTTGCTTCTCTGATCAGTTAGCTCTGGCTCTCTGGAGGAGCTGAGCCCTGGCTCCATGGCAAAAAAAATGCAACAATTGATTAATGATGTCTGCCATGGGCACAGTAAAGATAGAGGAAGTTACCTGCTGAGATCTACTTGCCCTGGTTTAGAACAAGGCTACAGGTCAAAATGCAGGGCTGAGTCTGAAAATCCACCCTTTTTAAAAATCAACACATCAAAATTTAAGTTTTCTCAGTAAACTAACAAGTAGACAAGCCATGAACAAGACACCAATAATCTGAAATTCTTCCAAGCGATCCAGCATGATGCAGAACTGTTTGGCTCTTTCATTAATTCATTCACATTTCCACTTCTGAATAATACTCTGGGTGGGAGCTGGGAGGGTGGCCTGGCAGTGGGGCCAGTTGATTGGCGGGCAACGGCCTCTGTGTAGGACAAGGAGAGGCGGAGCCGGGAGAGCCCCCTGCTTCCTCCTGGGCCCTCTAATTAGCTACAACTGCCCTCTGCAGCTCCAGCTAGGCTGCCCCCAGCAGCTCCTGCTGCTTCACTCTCCTGCCTCCTCATCCCCTCGGTCCTGCAGGCCTGCGTCTTCACAGCCTCTGCTGCTCTGGTCTGACCCTGCACACCCCCTTGGGCGAGGTTTGGTGGTACCATCTGCTCCAGGACTGCACTGGGACTGGTCTCAGAGGAGCGGGCACTGTCTCGACACATTAGGAGCTGAAGTCTGCAAGGGGGTGAGCTCCACCGTGATCACCTCAATCCCAGGCCCAGCCCGGGGCATGGAGGCCCGAGGAGTGAATCCAGGGAGCAGGGGTGAGCACCAGGGAGAGCGCGGGAGGAGGGGACCAGACAGAGGCCCAGGGAATGCCAGCAGGGTCGGCCACGCAGGAGAGGGCCAGGCTGGAGACCAGCAGGTGCCAGAGGAGAGGGGCTCTGGTGGGAAAGCATGAGGCTGGGGGGACACCCTGGGCTATTCTGAGGGAAACTAGAGGGGAGGGGCCTAAGCCGGGGGTGTGTGTGTGTGTGTGTCCCTGAGAGGCCAAGGCGTGAGGTCTGGCAGGGAGGAGACAGACACACAGACAGAGGGAGAGAGACGGGGGAACATCAGGCCCCAGTAAGGCCTGTGGACTGTGTGGCCTCTGCTAGAGCCCAGAACGCAGGGAACGGTTTTGGCCCCATTTTCCAAGTGGGAACAGAGCCTGGAGGGCTGAAGTGACTTGCTGGAGGCCGTGCTGCTGGCCTGGCAAATGGGATCACAGAGGGCCCACGGGGAGCACCAGGGGAGGCTGGGGGCGGGGGCGGGCACATCAGGCTGCGGGGACTGGGGCAGCAGAGAGCCCAGCTTCACAAAACCGCCCGGGGCTTCCTGCCCGCTCGCCGAGGCCTTCCCCGGGGTCTCCCCGGCGTCTCCGCGAAGCCCTCCACAACCATATGATGGGAAACAAGCGAGGCACGGTGACTTACATCTGGAGGCTGAAGGGGATCCCGGCGACCTCAAAGCGCTCCATCTCAAAGTCCACCCCGATGGTGGCCTTGTAGTCACGGTCAAAAACATTCTTGCAGAACCTGTGGGGGCCGAGGAAGCCATCAGAGCCTGCCCTCAGGGAAGACCAGGCGGTGACGGCCATGGAGACGGGCCACAGAGACAGGCCACGGGCGACGGAGCTGCCAGCGGGAACTCCGTGTGGAGAGAGGCTGCGGCAGCAGGAGACCAACAAGTGGGTCAAGGCAGTGAAAAGTACCGCGTCTGCCGGCAGGGAGGGCAGGCAGGGGAGCCTGTGGCCCCGGGGATGGTGTGATCAACGCCAGGCTCCTAGGACGCCGCACTCCCCGCGGACCCACCATCTCCCAGATTTCTTGCACCCCCTCCCAGCAGCCACATGGTCTCCACTATGACATGTGATGGAGCCTCCCGGGCCGGTGGCGCACCTGTGGATGAGGCTGGTCTTGCCCACGTAGAGGTCGCCGACCACAACCACCTTGGAGAGTTTGAGCCTGTGAGGAGTACGGTGCAGTGCTCTCAGGCGCAATCACGGGAGCATCTTCGCACACACGGGCCCCTCCTTCCCTGCATTCCCCACTCGTGATGTGGACAGGTCACCTGTGACACACTCTGGGATGTCTGTCCCCCTCGCTGGCCCTCAGAGTGGAGGGCAGGAGGACCTACATTTGTTCTGGGGACTCTGTACCCCTGATCCCACTGGGTCCATGTCCCTCGGTGAGAATCACAAATGGGCACCATGGGAGGCTGAGTCTTGGGCTGAGGGAGCAGCGGGAAGAGCCCCAGGTGGGGCTGTGTCCAAGTTGGGTCACCTGCTCCAGAACTAGCTGCTGCCTGGGAGCAGAGTAGACACGGCCCCTCCCTTGAAGACGTGGCCAGGTGAGCTGCACCGAGTCACCAGGTGACACAGAGGTGCCCTGTTGCTGTCTGCAGGTGGAGGAGACTGGTGGTTTGGGCATGACCCACAGTCCCAGGAATGCTGCTGTGCAAGTGCAGGACACACACAGAGGGAGGGGTAGCTGCTCTAGGTGAGCAGGGTCCCCCCTCCCCAGGGAGCCTGAGAACCTTAGAGCCATGGCCCAGGCGTGCAGACCTGAGTCCACGACACGCCCCCTGCCTGCCTGGCCCTGGAACGCCCTCCAGGGTGATGGTGGTGTCCTGGCAGGCACACAGCCCCAGGCCCTGTACCCCTGCCTGCATCCCTTACCTCGGCACTGCATCTGCACTAGTTCTATGTGTGTGTGTGTGTGTGTGTGTGTGTGTGTGTGTGTGTGTGTGTGTGTGTGTGTGTGTGTGTGTGTGT